CCCCCCCCCCCCCTTCCGTTTAACTTTTTTTAATCCCCTATTTCATTGTTTGTCCACAATAAACATATTCCCACACCCAGCAAATCCAGCTTTGTCCTTTTATGATCCACAGCTGTGCTGCTGCTCACCAGGTCCTTGCCACCACCTTCACCTCTGAAGTCATCAGAAGATGGTTGACTCTTGGGCTGTGTTAGGCTGTGTGTTTTGGGGTGCAGTAGATTTTGGAAAGTGGAGGCAGGGTATATTGGGGTCTTGTAAATATTAGGGGGATACGTTGTGCGTATTGAAGTCCATAATATGTTGAATATGTTGAAAATTGGGGGTAAATATTGTAAAATTATGCGCTGTATGTTAGGTTGATGTAGATATGGTGGACTAAGGGCCGTGTAATTTGAGGTGAATTATATTTGTGGGTGCAGTTCATATTGGGGGTTTGATCTGTGTTTTTGGGGGTGCTGTAGATATTGTAGTTTGGTTTGTGTATATTGGTGTGCTGTAGATATTGGGGGTATGGACTCTTTTTCTTAGGTTGCAGTAGATATTGTGGTTAGTTGTGTGTTATGGGGTACATTGTATATTGGTGTCCTGTGGATATTGGGGGTGTGGAATATGTGTCTTGGAGAGCAGGATATACTAAGTGGTTGGTCTATCTGCATTAAGACAAAATAGATATTTAGAGTGTGGATTGTGTATATTGGGTGTGCCAGATATTGGGTAGTATGAGGAGTTTGTATTGGGGTGCAATGTATATTGGGGAGCTGTCAATGTCAAGGGTATAAAATGTTTATCTTTGAGAGCAGTTGCTACTGGATTAATACTGGACTAATCATAATACTCAGGAGTTTACCTTAACTAATAACAATACTGAACATTATTTGTGCATCATACAGCTTTAGGCCCCCCAAATCATCTCTGAATTCATACTGACACTGTACTTCCTTCTGAAGGATGGCTATCTTTTTTCCTCAGGGTCCCTGTGTGTGTTGTAAAGTAGCCACCGATCCAAGTTCGCTCCGGTGACGGACTATCATAGTAAATAAACATGAGATTGTAGCCCATCACAGGAGTGAGCATGGAGCTGTGGCTACTTTACAACACACACAGGGACCATGTAGAACAAAAGTATCCACCCTCCAGAAGGAAGGACAGTGTCAGCACAAATTCACAGATAATTTGAGGATCTTCAGCTGAATGATACACAAATAAGGTCCAGTATTGTTATTAGTTAAGGTGCTGAATTTTTTTTAAGCTCCTTAGTTTAGTGTGACTTTAAGGTGGTGTCAATTATTGATATCAGTTGGGAGGCGGGAGCACATAGAGTAACAAAGATGTATCACTGTGTCAGGGTTTCTTACCCTTCCTTGTCCAGTTGCTTGCAGCATGGTCTGTGAAGTGTTTCTGACACTGTTTGTTCCTCTTTGGCACCCTCTTATGATCATACATCATCATTCTGCAACTACTAACAAAACTGCTGATAAATTCCTGTCTCAGAGTGACGATGAAAACACCAGCTCACTATTTAACCATCAGCTTGTCAATTCAGTCTCCGTCCTTGCCTGTGTTCTGATCTACCAAGTGTTCTGCAGTGGTTCCTGTTCTCCGTGTATGGCCCTGGCTCTGGCTGACTGATCTCCTGGTTCCCGACTCCAACTATTGTTCCTGTTCATCCTGCTTTCAGTTTTTCCTGACCTGGTTAGGCTCACTACCTGCTTTGGCATCTGACCTCTGGCTTGGCACTGACCACGTCCTGGACTTTCTCCATTTTTTTTTTGCCATTCATGTTTCTTGTTGTTTTCAATAAACTCTTTTTATTTTTTAAACCTGCACTTGAGTTTCTGTCTGGTTTCTTAGTCCCCTAATACACTTCCCATTGATAGGTCCTTTATTAAAGGCAAATCGACCATGTGGGTCAGAAAACTGGGCCTTAAGGGTACACCGGTAATTGTTGTGTACTGTGATAGCCACGCCTTTCGTTTTGACAGATGGGGCATTGCTCTCGTACCAGCAGTTATACATATGTGCAGGAAATTTAGGTACAGATTATACATTAAAGTGTGTCTCTTTGGGCATTATTATGTGGGGGGCTAGTCGCTTGAGTTCTAGCCAGAGTTTGTTTCTTCTCCTTGGTGAATGCAAATTTCTTACAATACAAGTTATTATCTGCAGTCTAAAATAGACCACAAAAAAATGTTAAGAACAAACAGATCCAATATATAAGACATTTAAGTAAGCTGTTGTAGTCTCATGCAATCAATCAACTGTGTGCAACAGAAATATAACCAATGAACAAGTAAAACAAAGTACCAATGCTAATAATTCTCCTCCAAGTGCATAATAACCTCTTCCCTTGGTGAATTACCCAAGGCTGAGTGAACTCTACCAACTGAA